TGCCGGCCAGGGTCAAACCACTACAGGTCCATTCTTGCGGCCCTTATTCAGAAGATCCTGTAAGCTGGAAAAAATGCAACACACACTGTCCCGAGTATTGCTTCAGCCACAGGATTTGCTCTAGTTACGTTTACCATTTGCTCTAGTTACATTTACCTGTTTATTGACAGCTGGCAAAGCACTGATGTTTCAGTGGAGCTGACTTTAATGTATCCAAGAGAGGTAATGAATTGATGTTGGTAACAAAGAATGACCTGAACCTGCAGTTAAGACTAAGTACTACTTTGAATTTTCATACGCTACTGCAATTTCTGGCTCTAATGGGAAATAATGCTGGAACTTCAAAAGTAACATTACAAAAGTTTAATAGAGTTTTGGACCTCCTAGCACAAAGAAGTCAAGGAATTTTCATTAAAAAATCTATTTTCTTATGAGACTTCAGGCCCAGCTGTGCACATCATAGAAGTTAAGTAAATACATGATATTGTCACATCATACTTTGGAGTAAACCCTGATCTCAATTTTAGAAAGGAGCTTTTTGTATTTAAAATTACCTTTGGATAATTTATTTTTACTTCTTGTCATTTCAGTGGTTAAATAAGGTTTCTATATTGTCTAAATGACTCACACTTTTTGAAATACTCAAAAAAGCCCCAGAAGTCCTTCTGAAACAAAACATGAGAAAAATGGATCCTGCTTTCTTACCACAGTGAGCAAAGTCTCCTTTTTAATTCAGAGTTGGCTTCTACTTGATCATCCATGTATATTGTCAGAGATAATGTAATAGGTCAGGTTGTCAAAAAAGTAGTACATTCATGTTAATGCTTAAACTCCAGCCACTGAATTGCATGACAAGTTCATCTGCTGTGATTCAAAATGTACAGAGAAGTACCAATAGAGGAAGAAAAGTTTATGGACAAATCAGCAACTCTCAGCACACTCAGAGATGTCCCCTAAAGGGTTCAAAGAGCTTCCTGCAATGCACATCTTATAAGCCATTGTCTGTGCCAGAAAGCCAGCAGACGACAGTGATGTACACACACACGCATGGTCGTTAAACGTGAGTAAGTCTGCCTCTACTCAGGTAAGCATTTAGGCCCATACTTAACATGCCCCAGGACACTGTAATATATCAATATCTGCAATTATTACTTAACTCAATAGCAATATAATTAACTTATATATGTTCATGCACACAGAAAAATGTAAAGATGAAAACCCACCATATTCTGGGACCTGGCCTGTTCCACGTTTCAACAACAGTCGCACTCTCCTGCCACCAGACTTGATTAGCTCTATTGCTCTGGCATGTGTCATGTCCCTTGTGCTTTCTCCATTGATTTCAATTATTTGATCTCCTACCTGTCAGGTAAGAAGAATATTGAGTCAGACAGAATTGCAGTAAAATGAGCGTTTCAGAAAGAGACATATTCAACGGATCACAGGTTACCTGAATGACAGACAGACACATCAAGGTAAATTTGTTCCTGTCTGTCTGAGGGATATTACTAGTGGATTAAATAACCTCCAAAGTTGATTGTGAATGTGCTCGTCTTCTGCTGAAATCAGTGTAATGCATATGTAACTTGCCTCATGTCTTTTACGCGTAAGGGTTATTATTTTTTTTCCAGTTGGTTGATATGTTGGAATCATTGGAAATGTTATCAGTGCTACACCTTGGCTTGCAGTGTTGTATGGGCCTGAGACCTTCACTGCATTTAACTTACTGTTTTCACAGAGAAAAGAGAGGTTCAAAGCACAAAGATCCATTGGTGGAATATGCAAATCTTTGTAGCAAAGTTTCGCACTGAGTTAAGAATTGTTCTGAAGCAAACTATTAAATAAAGAAAGCTTAGTGCCATGGCACAGGATGCACAAACTTGCTGGTGTTCTTACAAGAGTATACTTTGAACTGTTTATCCACAGAACGTTTTTGCTAAGAGTAAGCGCAGCCCCCGGCTGAGCTGTCTAGTTAGAGCAGCCAACTCCAGGCCTCTGATGACAGGTTTCTGCTACTCAGCTCCTGTCCGGCTTTCCAGTCTGAGTTAGCTTCGTCATTGTTTTTCCACCTCTGTTTCTACAGCTGTAAAATGAGGCACTGATGTCTGCGTCTCCCATCCACTCCAATCTCCTCCCAGCTTTGCCTCTCACTGGGATGTTTTGGTTTAGCTCTTCTCTCCATGAGAAGAGCTGGCTTCCAATGTTGGAAACCTTCTCCATGACTAGAGGAGCCTCCCAGCCCCATTGGAGGGGAATCCCTGCTGAAGGCCAGAAGGAGGTCTGATCTCCTGGAGCTGGTAGAGGTGTGGGTCCAGGTGTGGGCAGCCAAAAGGGATGTGTGAGAGTCTCAGTTGAGTGGCTTCAACAAACTCATTTATTAGTGCCAGAGGAGCACATCTGCCTTGATCTGCACCTACGGCTTCCTCACGTGCATATCCACGGCACTAAAATAACAAAGCTGCACATGTCCTAGAGAGGGCTTTAAGGAGACTATAGAGATTTAAAGATGATGGACATTTCCTTTTCTTCTTACAAGCCTGTCTTGACAAAACCAGTTCCTTGCTGGCCTTGGCCATTGAAATATTTTCTGCTTTGTACGTTTTCTCTGCTGCTGTTGTATTTCTGTCAACTAGAATTGTAATCCTTCAGAGACTTTCTGTCCTTCTTGAGTTTGAAATACAGTATTTACCAGATCCATGTGTGTAATATGAAATGTCAGCAAGACTCCTAGCAACAAAGAAAACTGGAAAGGATGTCAAGAAGTCATCTAGGCCCTACTTTTCTTCAGAGACAGAAAGAATGCTACCAAAAGCACTATGGCAGTGTTTCTCAATGGGAATTCACGCTTTGTCAATAGGAATTGCAGCCTGTTTTGAGAACTCTCCCAGGATTCTGTATGCAATCTATGCCACTACTTTACTTAACTAAAAAGCCATTGATCCAAATAAAACCTCTCAGCCTTGTCCAAAAGGCGTTACTTTTGCAGTGCAAATTCCTTCCTTAACAAATTTTCGTTGTTAGGAAGAATGCATTTGGTTGTACCGTGCAGCATATTTTCAGACATTACTGATGACCTCCAGGCAACAGTGACACACAGTGCGGGTGCTCTCTGGAACCTGGAGATTTCTGCCCCAGGTTTGCCATGCAGGGCTTTTTGCATCACCCTGATTTTTGCAGTGGTTGGTTGGATGTAGTTGCTGCACACACTGAGAGTGAAAGTGGAAAATCTCTCTTACCAATTCTGTAACACAAGCAGAAGGTGGATTTTTGGCAATCCCACAAGGATACTAATACAGACAAAATTCGATGAGTTTGGAAAAACTTGTTTCTAAACGCCATGAAACAATTAAGCCCTGGCAGAAATAAGGAAACTCAGATTTTCTAAAGGCTTAAAGATAGCTCTTTTTTTGTGCCGTGTTGCCTAGAGAGACCATGTTTTGCAGAAAGTATTTAAAATGAGCTTGTTAGCATGTTTTGAGAGAAGAAGTGACAGATTAGATCAAATGAAGGAGGTGTTTTTTAACACTCCTTGATAAATAGCCTTTAAAATGAGTACTGATGAAATCTGTGCAGAGCATGTACAGTCCTTCATATAAAATCCTCTGCACTCTGGAGCAGACAGAAAGAGATTTTAATATCGTTTAATATGTAAAAAGGTTAAGTTAATGTCACATTTTTCCCTTGATGGTTGACTTTCTTCTTTTCTCATTGGTCAATATGTAGGAACTATCTTGTATTAATGTAACCTTTTCTGTATTTCAGTGGATTAAAATATTTTTTTTCTCTGTAGGCAGCATGTAGCTCATTTGATAGTTCCTTTTTTAAATAAAATCTTATGTGGATAAAGCTAGCATCTTGGTTATGTGACTGAAGGAGAGGAGAGTTTTCAAATATTAGGTGCTCTGATATTTACATCAGAAAGCGTGAGACCAGAGGTAAAATAAGTAGTTGCAGGAGCTGTGGGTTAATTGTGTTCCATGCATCTGTGTCATATGGCTGACTGATGTAAAATTGAATTATACTGCCTTTGCACCACGAGGCCAGATCTGATTAGATAAGAAGAGCAACAAGGAAGAGAAGTGCTGTCAATAGTCTTACACTGAGAAAATCTTCAATTAGATTTTACACTCATATCTGGGGGATTCGTACAAACGAGAAAACCTTGACTGAGGAGAGGTTCCCCATGTGTCTAACAAGGTACAAATTCCTACTCTTATTTTGTTTTTTGCAGTTAAATATTTATAACTTCCCCTTTCTTCCTCTCGCTGATGTAGATCCTTGTACATCTGATATGGGAGGAAACCATGCTATATGCTTTCTCTCTGTCCAAGCATTCAAAAGTGCTTCCTCTCTTATCTTTCCTATTATGGAACAGATTTTTAGATATCATGGAACTATTTCTGTCTCTTTTTTAAAATCCAGTGGCTGTTTAAGAGAAACTTAGATATACCCACATATTGAAGATGCACCAAGGTGAAGTCAGAGGTACTGATACGCATAGAAATAGATCTGAAAATAACCCAGTGCCTGTTATATGGGATCGTCATTCTTCTCTTAACAAGATAAAAGGCGATTTCTGCAGTTTTTATACCACGCATGACATTTCTGTATATTTCTTTTCTGGATCCTTCCAAGTGTGTCCGCAGTCTCCAAACTGGAGATATTACTAAGGTGGGGGGCAGGCAGAACAGATCAAAATTATAACATTATTCCCGTGTGGGAGAAACACTTACTAACAATGTTCCCAGAATGAGATCTTTGCCTTTTTGTAAAACATCAGATTTGCGACTCATGGTTAGCTTGATTCCAAAATTATCCCCAGTGGTGTTGTCTAGACACTTATACCCCATTTTACATTGTGCATCTCATTTCTCTGCCCTTAACCAAGCACAGTGCACCTCAGCGAATTCTATCAGATTGTCTGTTTTAGTAAGAAATTTTCAGTTTGAAATCTAAGCCAGTTCCTCAATATCCTTTTAAACCCTCTATGAACAGTAACATCTTTGCATCAGCAAATTTTATTTCATTATTTATCAAATTATTAATGAAATTATTGAATCTAGCTGTTTTCAGCTTAGACCCTTCAGAATTATGCTTGTAATTTCACATTTGTAATTACTACCCAGGACCAAATCATTCATGGTAGCCTTTAAGAGGGGTTATTTTTAGTAACCATGGTACAGTCTCGAGTCTTTTTCCCCGTCTTTTTTCTATGAATTCCATACAAAGTGGTGTTGAAAGTTCAAAAGAAGGTGCATTGTACATTCTCCTTCCCTTTTTTCCCCCAAAGAAATAAATACAAAAATCAGAAACAAGAAATGAGAATTAGACTGGTGTGATAATTAGACTGGTATGTTGGTGGACTTTTTCAACTTCTTGATAACTTGTCACAAATTATTTCTGTAAATGAAAGTTAAAGAAACTTTTCTCTATTATTTGACTTTAAAAATAAGAAATATGTTTTCCTTTCTTTAGTCTGCTGCTAACTTCCTTGTCCTCCATGAAATCTTGAACATAATTACTGCTAGTCTAGAAACTCCTTACTCTTAGTCATTGAGCATACAAGAACAACAGCACATTCAACTGACTTGGCCTAAGTATAATTCAAGCAGTTATCTCCTCATTCTGATTTTGACTAATTCCTCTTTGTTGCAGTTGCTTAAGTTTATATTCCTTCTAAACACCTCGATGAAGACTAATACAAAGAAAGTGCAGAATATTCCAGCCTTCTCCACCTTCTCAGGAAGCAATGGACCTATTTTTTCCTGTTCTTCCTATCTCTTTTAATATATTTATGTTCCCCCATATACTTTCCTTGCAGACTGCTTGGGTATCATTCTGACATATTTAATCTTCCCTCTGCATCTAGCAGGACACCATTGACCTCACAGGTGTTGCAGAATCAAGGTCCGAATGTCTAAATCTTTTATTGGGTATGACCCTGTGGCATTAGCTGTTTTCATGAAAAGTGATACATTTGAATCATAGAATCATAGACTGGCCTAGGCTGGAAGGGACCTTAGAGATCATTTAATCCAATCCCCCTGTCATGGGCAGGGACGCCTCTCAACTAGATCAGGCAACACATGGGGACCGAACGGGGATCAAAACCACGACCTTGGTGTTATCAGCACCACACTCTAACCGACTGAGCTAACCGGCCCCCAATATCAGACCATCATTTTTAAAAGGCATTTTGGCAAGCTGCCTTCTGTGGAGATATAAAGCTTTTCAGATGAAACATCAGAATATTTTAAAAGATAATCTTCAACACAGCAGCATAATCATTTTGCAAGGCATTTAAGTTCTCTGTCATTTTGGAATTAATGACTTTTTTGGTCAAGAAATTAACAGAAATAGTG